ATAATGAAGAAATTATTAAAGCTGATTATGATAAGGATCAAGAATTTTATCATTTAAATCATTATCAAGATCCTCACAAGATTGAAGAGTATCATAATCAATTATTAGAACTTGTTAGACCTTATGTTACTTCTATTTATGATCCTCCTGGGGATGGACATTGTGGATTTCCCGCTATAGCTCATGCTCTTGGTCAACACGAAAAAGGTGCTCAGAAATCTATTAGACAAAAGATGGTTGAAGATCTAGACATACATCATAAAGAATATCTTAAGTTTTATTGGCAGAAGAGTGGTTCTACGAAAGCTAAAAAGTCACTCACCAAGGCTCAAATTCAAGAAAAACAAGGACTGGTAACTGAAAGATACATTCAAGACATATCAGAAAAAATTGAAACTTATACAGATGAACCTGTCAGCAAATATAACTGGTTTGAATCAACCACTATGGGTCCAATTGCAGCAAATGCTTTTTCATGGCCTGTTGTGATCATGAGTACCACTCATCATCACTGTATGACTTTCTTTCCATTTTCTTCCAAAAAGAATTCCACTAATAAACCTATAGCTCTTGGATTTGTCGCAAATGGTCATTGGGTTTCTATTTCTTTTTCTTCTGATTCTCCTTCACCTTTTCCAAACCCTTCTCTATGGAAAGATCAGCTTAAAATTTGGCTTTCAATGGCTGGAAGAAATGCTGCTGGGTGGACAAATGACGGTTTCCTCAAACAATGTTTTGCTTTATGGGAAAGAAAGATGGAGGAAATAGAGAAATTGAAGGAATTAAAAGAAGGAGTTACCACCAGAAGTTCAAAAAGACGAAAAGTTGTTGTTATTGATTAATTTGTATTTCTTTTTTTTGTGTAATAATTTCAGAATGGGTTTTTTTGTTAAAATTTGATTGATATATATGAGGAAGTTATTTACAAACCTTCTATTTTTGAATTATAATAATCTGATCCCCTTCATGTTGAGATGAGAAGATTGTATTAAACTTCAAATACAATAACACAACTGCGTTTTTGGTCTTTTCTGTCCTCCGGTTCTCTCATTTCGAGTCCGAAATGTGTTTTACGTCCTCCGGTGCACTCATTTCGAGGCCAAACTGCGTTTTTGGTCTTTTCCGTCCTCCGGTTCTCTCATTTCGAGGCCGAAATGTGTTTTCTGTCCTCCGGTGCACTCATTTCGAGGCCAAACTGCGTTTTTGGTCTTTTCCGTCCTCCGGTTCTCTCATTTCGAGTCCGAAATGCGTTGTCCGTCCTCTGGTGCACCCATTTTGAGGCCAAACTGCGTTTTGGACATCAAAATGGGGCTTCATTACCCTGCTGAGGGGTTATGAAGCTGGATTTGTAGCGCCTACATTTGCACGACTGGATGTAGGCGCTGATTTGGGCTAAAAAAACTATGTAGGCGCTTTGAAATTATGCCTACATGGTTCCTGGGGCATGTAGGCGTAATTTCAAAGCGCCTACTTAGCAGGTGCTCATTTGCCAGCGCCTACTTACAGAGGAGGGAATGTAGGCGCTCAAAAAAAGCGCCTACATTCTTTTTTTGGGGATGTAGGCGCTTTTTGAAAGCGCCTACATTGTATTTTCCACGTCCCCGCTTAATAAAACGCCTACAGGCTGAAAAACCAATGTAGGCGTCATTTGTGTACGCCTACATTCTAAAAATAGAATGTAGGCGTACACAAATGACGCCTACATTCTATTTTCAGAATGTAGGCGTACACAAATGACGCCTACATTGGTTTTTCAGCCTGTAGGCGTCATTTAAAAAAGAAAAAAGCGCCTACAGGCTGTATGTAGGCGCTTTTTGGCGGAAAACATCCATGTAGGCGTATTTTGGACAGCGCCTACATGGATTTCATGTGGGCAGAAAATAGCAACAGCCTAAAAATATAAATTTCTTTTGTGATTTGATATGTGAAATGATTTTTGAAAAACTTGGATTGATTATTGAGTGACAACGATGAGGTGAGAGGGGCTGATATGATGGCAGTTTTAATTGCGAGATCGCAGAAAACCAACACCACGAAAGCTTAGCTAAGTGAGTCTGAAGCAACCTGAATTGATACGTTAGAGTAAGGGCCCAATTCCAACTCTAAATCGCCTCCGCCTTATGACTTGAATCAATGCGCTATTTGATGGTTCAGAGGCGGTCAAACGGTGAGTACTTCCTGGCGAGGTCCATGAACTTCTTCTTTTTCCTTTTTTGCGTTTGAAAGGAGTGAAACTGATTGAGTTCTTGATGGATGATTGAGATAGGGATTGAGCACGACCAGTAACGTCATAGAAGCGGTCGTTGTTGAAGGTTCCAGCTGAAAGTGGTTCATGTCTTTGGAATGTTGGATGACTGATGCGGCTGATGGTCGGTGTACAGGCTTCCATCGTGGTTCGTGAATTGTTGCAGAGGGGGAGCGTAACTGTATCGGTCTTACTCTGAGACTATCTCGCTCTGAGACTATCTCTGAGACTATCCAAAATTCACAAAAATAAAGTGGCTTCTTGTACACTTAACGCACAGATTGGTGGCGGCTGGTAGGAATGTATGGTTCATACGTACAGTTTATCAGAAATCTGATCCCCATGCTTGGTCTTGACCAGCTCCCTGCAACCAAAAAAATGCCTCTTGTGAAATTTTTCATCACAAAGATGTCCATTTCAATTTTGAACACCTCATATCCTGTCGTTGATAGAAGACTGCCGCTTCCAAGAATTGCCCTCCAATAAATTGAGACCACGACCGGCACGATAGAGCACATCACCACCTAGTACACAAAACTTAATAAAATCTTCGAGATGAAGATTATCCCATATCCTAGGTATGTTCTGGATAGATCTCGCAATGATCTTGAAAAGCATGATCGATGGGATCAATGAGATTGTAAAAAGTGATTGATTGATTGATCGGACTGAAGTAGTTCGCTTCTACCTTCAAATATCATAGGCTTATCATATCCGACGTGTTTTTGACTCAGTGGATCTGGCAATTTGCTCTCATTGATCAAGGTCATCTATGATCTATGTACATACATAGACATGGATCCATCCTGATCCATCGCTCATTTGGAGGCGATTGTTTTTGTTTACAAACAACCTGTGTACAGGCTTGGGTAGGGCCGAGAAGGTCAGGGAATAGAAAGAAACACCCCTCTTGGAAAACAGACGCTGCTTGAAAATATTTATACTATCCCTGTATGTCTCAGGGATAGTCTCAGGTAGTCTCAGAGTAAGTCTGATACTGCAACTCTCCCGGGAGAGGCGCAATGCGGTTGATCAACGTTTTTGGTCGGTGTACAGAGTGCTCCGCCGTGGTCTGTTGAAGATGTCAAACGGTTTTGGTTGGTGTACAGAGGGTGCGGCTACGGTTCGTCAAATGGGGGATGTGGAGTGTGTGGTGTACAGTACGGAATAACGCCCGACCCGTGTACATGCTGTACAGAGGTCACGTGATTTTCCGCACTCGGGGAATCAAAAATCCCCGCGGAAAATCAATTGTTTTTTGTAGTGATATTCTTGTTGATCATTACGTTATGCCAGTATTCAGACAGTCTGACGTGATTGTGTTTTAATTTATTACCGACTTTCATGTGAGTATTATCGGACATTTTCTCTATCGTTTTAGTCTTATTCTTTTTGACTTCCTTCGTCTTTGTGACATTTTCTTCTTCATCACTTTCTTCGAACTCACAAGTATTAAGACCAACATTTCTTTTAGTAGTATCATTATCTTTGCACCACTTGTCGTAGGCCGATGTAAGCATGTTGAATTTAGCTATTTTGTCCTTATCAAATGCGGTTTGGATGTTTCTAATCCATCTTGCATGCTCTAGCTCTATGGTGGGATGTGTGTCCATGGCCTCCTCATCATGTTCTAGGTCATCAAAGCAAAGTATAAATCGGCCACTCGTGAGTATCATAATTTTTTTTATTTTTTTGAAAAGGCCACACTGGGTCAATAAACCACACTGATGTTCCATAACATTTCCAATTAGCCACATCTGTACCTGGCCACACTGGGTACGTGATTAACCACACAAAAACCACACCAATTGAGATTACACACTAAAGAGTCCTAATTTTTTAATTTTTTTTTCTAGCCACGCCGGATTGCTCAAAGGCCACACTGGGGTTTTAGAAGGGTCGCACTAGTACGTGGATCAGGGGTGGATTATTTCCGGAAAACATACGGATATCCAAAGGATATGATAGACTAGGTGTGTGAAAAGAGAGATGGGATATGCAGAGAGGAATGGGACGTAAAAAGAGGAAAACCAGGGGGGGCTAACTACTCTGAATGAGAATTGAGATTGAAAAAGGTTCCAAGTAGGTCTTTTTACTCACCGAAGCCCACACGTTCATCATTCTCATTGTTTACTAACTGATCTCCTTGTTGATCATTTCCTACTTCTCTTTGATCCATATTATTTCCATCATTTGTATCAGCTCGATTCTCTCTTCTTTCTCCTCTTCCACTACAGTATTATTCGTAATCAGTGTCATTCTATTTATTTCATTTCTAATTTATTTTAAGACTTAATGTCTTATGTCCGAAGTTATTCCTTCCATATCATTTGCACAGAAAATTCTACCGAAGCCTTAAGACTGTTATGCTCAGTACATTATCACATGTTAATAAAAGTGGCTCTCAAACCTGACCCAGTTTCAAAAAACCCGGTTGCCCCAGTTGAATTTTTGGCTGGGAGCTGTCAACAAATGTCAACTTGATACACAAAGTTACTGCCAAAAAACAACTGGGTCAACTGGGTTTTTTGAAAACCGGGGCAGGTTTGAGAGCCACTAAAGTACCTCGCGTGTTTGGGGGGGGCCGGTAGGCCGTAGGTCTCGGGGCCGGGTAGGCTCTCTGCTCCCAACTCTCAGGACGAATTGTCCGGAGCCTGCGGAGAGCCACCTCGGTACGGACTGAGAGTCCCACGCCTTTCTTTTCAGCTTCCCCCCAAAAGTTTAACGAACCTCATAATCGATAGGCTGATCCTCTCGTTTATACCCACATCTCACTTTTATTTTTCAATCAAGCCTCTCAATTCGGTGATACACAATACAAAAAAAAAATCAGTGAGTATCAAGCAACACCCTTCATCCTTCTTGCTCTCCTTCTTTCCCATTTCTTTTCTCTTTTTTTTTTTTAACTTCTTTCTTGATCTAGTTTTTCCTCCACCTCCACTTTCATAATACCCCGAATGTACACCGCGTCGTTCAACTCAGATTCCGAATATTTGCGTAGATAAACTTGATAAGCCTTTGATTGCCACCTCCCCAATCAAACTATTTCATCCAGTGGCTGGTTATCATTCCAATTGTAGGTTGCTCCTCCAACCCTAAACGAATGGCCTGACAATTGGCTCCTACTATCGTATTTCCTCCAGACTTTCTTATAGATACTTATCGCTTTCGATTTCGACAGCAGGTTGAACTTTTTGCTTTTATCCCAGTATGAGAATATTGGGGTATGGACTGAAGGTAGGTAAGACTCTTCACAAAGTCTTTCCAGTGCCGTAACGGGACACAACAGAGAGTCTATTCTAGTAATACGTAGAAACTGAAGTTCCCCCGGTTTTGCGGTTTTCGCATTATACAAAGCAAGCTCTACGTAAGTCTTCTCAGGGTTATAAATCATGTCCATTCCTCGTATCATTTGTTTATTTGGATCATCGCTTACTAATTTCCCTAATCGGGCCATCCCCCAAAATTCAATTAGGGCAACCGTCAAGGCTATTCGTTCAACATGGGTGCCTTTCGATAATTCTTTTGCCAGCTCTACCAAATGACGTAATTGTACCGGATCCTTTTTCTTTCCTGAGTTCTCTTTCAGTTTCACATCCGCGACACTCAAAGCTTTTGATAACAATTTTAATGTTTTATCATTTTCAGGCGGAAATGGAAGACTATGAAACAAATTCCAAGACCTGATACCGGTTATATATTTAAGTAAAGTACCTGATGTCACCTTATGAGTTGCATGTAAGTTCTCTAATATTTCTTTGTCCTCCAAGTTTACATTATACTGTCTTCCTGCCCACACTACAAACTCCCACAGCATATCTTGAGTCAAAGGAAGTAAGTTCGTTCTATTGATATCCAGTTTCTCCCTAAATTTTTCTAATTTTGACATTGCTGAACTATAATTTTCTAACGTAGGCTGCGTCCAACTTCCTCCTAGCATACAACTTTTAAAGGCATTTCCTTTCCAATCAATTTCACTAAATGGTAATAACATTTCAATTGGTCGAACGTCAGATCCCACATAGGTCAGTCCGAGAACACAAAAAAAATAATCAAGGTCGAGTCAGTTCACAGTCTCTCTTGTTTGGGTTTCTCTTCACGTACCCTTCTCTATTCAACAAAAACCATCTAATTTTATTTTCGTTGTTCATCTCTTCTTAACTCTGTCTCATCAGGTCCGTTAAATCTATTGGTAACTTTATCGAAACTTCTAAGTGATCTGTCCCAATATCTTTAAGTCCTTGTGATAATCAATCAGCCTTATTATCGCCCGATGTCACTCTCTCTACTTTGATATCACACACTAAATCGGTGAGTTTCTTCTGAATCAGTTTCCACTCTTCATTCACTAACTTATGTTTTGATTTTTGATTATTGATCACAGCTTCTGTTGTAGTGTTATCGGAGTAAACGACGAATCAGCGGTTTTTGGTGGGGAAGAGTCGCTCGATCATGTGTAAGCCCAACCTTACTGCAACTGTTTCCAACCACGCTATGTCACGTCTCTGACATGTGTGCAAAATGCCTTTTGACTTCCAATCTTCTATCAACTCGAATCGTGACCACCTGTCACCTATCAAAACTCCTATCCCATAACCGGTACTCGCATCACCAACCCAGCCAATCTCTTCGGGTTGAACATCCGGCGTAATCATCAATCTGTCAAATCCCTTCAGAGCATCTCGCCAATCCTCCAACTCCGATCTCGCTCCTTCTGGTAAATCTCGAAGAGCACTATGGTCATACCAAGATTTATCAAATCAATATAAATTCCACAAGTATGCCTTCATATTCGGAAGTATTGATGTTAAATGACTTAATTGACCAGTTATTTTCTCAATATCTTTCTTACTGCATTTCTTTCCCCTTATCAGTAAGTTTTCAATTCTTCCTATTCTTTCATTTAATTTGTCTATTGGAAGTCTGACAGATCTTTCCTTTCCGTTCCAAATAAACCCTAAATACTTCTGTTCAATCGCCCAGTCTGCGAACTTCTCGTCATTGGATTGTACTCCCATCTCTTTTGAAACTTCTAGTACGTCATTCATGTTTAAGCTATCACCCTCACATTTCACAAACAAATTATCATCTACCCATCGGAAGATGGCTCTAATTTTAAATAATGATTGAATTATATCTTTCCATGCATCTGCTAGCCAACCAAAAGTCCCACAACCAGCAACTCCTCCAAACGGAATCCAAGTATCGATCCAAATATTTCCTTTGAAATCTGTAATCATAAGAAAATGCCATTGTGAAATGTGAGTTGCTCCCTGTCAATATGCCTTTTGTCAGTCTATTATCGCTAACAACAAAATAATACCTGGCAAAGTCTTGAAATATTCTTGTACCACCTTAAAGTCATTCCAGGTTGTTTCGAAGTCTGACTTATCTACGAACAAATTTACTGAAGGTACGTTATTTTCCTCCTTATCGTAGCTTAAATTCTTAAGTATCTTCCCAGCACCGTCTGACTTCAAATCATCTTCTCCATCTGTGTCGCTTTCCTCTTCTTCCATATTCGTCTTTCTTTTCTGACACTTGTTCTTGTTCTGGTTTCTAGGATAGGAAAGGTCGTTTATCATTCTCAACGAACCGTCGGTGTTTACCACGCTTCCCATGGGATTGGACCGAAAGAAACCCCATCTCCTATATACCTCCTCGTGAGTGAATGGACCTAAGATATGTCCTTGCCTCCTTTCTTTATATAAATTATTCATAATCTTTCCTTGTACTGCTAAAGCTGATCTGTGATTATCTGGGGTAAACCACTTCAGCCCTTCCAGTTCATGTTGTGGAATACCTTGATGAAATCCTTGAGTGAGGCCTATCCACACCTTAGCCCATTTTTCTGATAAATTACAACTCCTTAGTAGCGATTCCCACTCCTTTAAGTTCATTTCATTTTTAATTTGTGTCGGCCAATTCTCTAACACTCTCTGTTCATCTACGACGTATTCTTGTGTCACTTCCCCTGTCTGTGTGACTTTGGATGCTAAGTTCTCAACAGTTTCAACAACTCTTGATTTAGCATTACTTTTCAAGATCAAGTAGAGGCCAACAACAAATAAAAAGGAAAAATAACAACAATAATATTAGTAACAAATTCTACGCTCACAACAACCTCATTACTCTCTCTGTGAGTGTTTTTTTTTTTTTTTAAGCTTCGACAGCTTTTTTTTTTTTTTAGAAATTTGTTCATGAAGGAGAAACTAACTAAGAACCAGACGGTCCTGGTGTCGTTACCTCTGGACCACCTGATGTTGGTTCAATCATCAATCTATTGAAACTTCCTGGACCTATTCCAGGACGACCTCTACCGCGACCTCTACCTCCTCTACCACCACCTCGATTTCCATTAGATGGGCCACCTCTGGGTTGGTGAAAATTACTTGGATGATTATATTGATAATCATTATGGCGTTGATAAAGATGATTGGGATTAGAATAGTAAGTTTGAGTATTGTTTTGATGGTTGTTATCTGGATAAGTTTGATGATGATGACTGTTTGGGTAAGGCTGATTCCTTGCTTTCTTTTTCTCATGATAAAGTGGGTCAAATCTATTTCCTAAATAACAGGTTGGTCTTTGACTTGTATTTACCGCCGCTACCTCTGATTGGAATGCGCTGACTGAGTGGTTACCCCATACCATCAATCCTCGACCGGTCAACAACTCCGCATTGTTATCGATCGTAGTACCCATCGTATCCCATGTTGGGTTCATTTTCCCGTCAAGTGGGTTCATGTTCTGAAAGGGGCCACCAAAGACAAAGGGATTATCCATATAACTATGAAACACAGATAGAAACATCACACATCATTAGGTTTGTGTTTTCTTTTTTTTTTTTTTTTTGAAAAATTTAATTCTTACTTATAGTCTCCAAAATTTTTTGCATCTTTTTCTGCTTGTTCAGCTAATCTTTTATCTAATCTTCCCACGTCTGCCATAGAACCGTTAGGCAATCTGTTTTCCCACACGTTTCTTCTATGAGCCACATCGTAACGCATTGCTGGTGTCCATTTACCATCACAATCAATTTTAATTTGAAGGACATTTTCTTTATGGGCTAAAAGTCGTGGAGCAATTGGTGAGTCCTTTTGACTATCTAAAGTATCAAATTTTATGGCTTGGTACTTCATCATTAAATCATATCTGACCGTCCACTCTGCAAAACTTAATCTAAATTCATTCAAAACTGGATAACCGGTATAAGTTATAGTATCCGATGAACAAGAAGTTGACTTTGTTCTTTTTGTTCTCATAAATGATGCGTCTTGAATCAGCCATTTAGGATCAACAATTGAAACTGGTACGTGCATGGTCTTATTAATCATCAATTTCTTAAAATATTCTGATAAATTTGTCATAGCATGTCCTACACCTTCTCCTTCTATCATCATCGTGTTATATTCATTCTTTGATGTCGAAGTGTCTGTTGATTTTTCTATGACTTTCTCGATCACTTTCTGAGCAGGGACCTCGATATTTAAGTCACATAACAACACTCTTCGTACTGGTGTATTCTCTTCATGGCACCAATCAGCGTAACCTTCTAACATCAACTTGTATAAAGGCGTGTTTGCGTTAAGTGCAGCCGTTTTGATGTTGTTGATCCATTTTTGATGATTTATTTCAATTGCCGTTGGCTCAGGCATATTCTCGATTATTTATTCTATTCACAGCACCCAATGAAAAACAGAGCACATTTTTGGTAAGTATTAATTTTTTTTTTTTTTTGAATCTTCTAACATTTCTTATCACTTTTTTTTTTTTTTTTGATCACATTTCCAGGTCTCTTTTTATCTAAGTTCAGTCTCTTTCGTATTTTTTTTTTTTCTTGGTCTCTTCTAATTAACTTGTTTTTATTCTGAAATTTTTGGTTTTTTTTCTTTTTTTTTGAATATCATACAAACACACTTATCTCTTTCTAGAACGTACCACGATAAAAACGAATAGGATGGAGGTGGGGGGGGGTCATAGCAAAACATAACCTGAAGTGAAAGAAGGAAATTTCTATTGAAGGTGGAAGGGAAATAATACTAACCTCTACCTGACAAAATCCCTCTTCTATTACTAACTTGGTCATCAGTCCTAACGTGAGTCTCATTTCCTTCAGTGTCTCGACTCTCTTGATCTTCGCCACCATCTTTAATTCCATTGTCCTTTTCCTTTTCATTACTTTTATTCTTTTCTCCTCCGTTATCTTCTTCTCCACCTTGCTTACTTTGACTTTCTACTTTATCATTCATTTCATCTTGTTGGTTCTTCTTTCCTTTTCCTCTAGTTCTTCTTGGTGGATTATTTTCTGTATCAGCTGTTGAGTTTCCTTGTATCGTATCTTTTGGATTCAGATTTACATTCTCCATAGTATCTGCGTAATCTTGTTGTGCTGACATTAAAAAGATAACAAGGGAAAGGATCTCTACTTCTTCTTCAACCTTCTTACTTTAAATTATGTATCTTTGTCGTTGTCTTAGATGGATTTATATGTTGTTGATCACAAAAGAAATTATTCAAATGAAAAAGAAGAAAAGAGATTACTCAACCTTTTACCTCTAATTTATGTCGAGGGAAAAGAGAAATTGGTGGATGAGAATTTTACGGATAGATTTGTAAGGAAAAGTGAAAAAGTAAGAAAGGTGATTTTGTTTCTTACTTTTTGGAAAAGCGTTGGGGGAGATGTTGGCTTTCCCATCCCGGTACCGACCATCTATCTGTACCGGGTCCTTACACATCGTTTACTCATCCACATCCTTTACATGGAACTCTCCAGGTACCGTCGTGCCTTTGGGCACCTGGAACATTCTATTGTTTCCATTTCCTCCTTCATCCTCTTCTCCATTTTGATTTCTTCCTACCAGATTATTTATCAAATGTTTGATTGCTTCTACCTTCTCATTTCCATTTTCTTCATCTTCATCCTCCGCTTCATCTCTTTCTTCTCGTACTTTCCCTTCAATTAATCTCTCCTGATTCTGATTCATCCTAGTTGACGTTCCAGGTGTTGGTTCCCTATTGTGCAGAATTCTACCTGGTAATAAACTCAAAATTGATGGTGCTTTAGGGTTTGACATTTTCAACAAACAAATTCAAAAGAAAAAAGGTTTTGCAAAAGAGAGAAGAATGTGAGCTTTGTTATGAAAGGGGATGATGGGAAAGATGAATTTGGTTGATCTCAAATTCATCTCTTCTTCTGTGAAAAAGTTTTTGTCTTACCACAACCCCGGTCAAACTTAACAAAGTCCCTCGTTTTTGAGCTGTACTGGGCCATTAAGTTTGAACCCCGGTACTGTGTTCTGGGTACTGGGTTCTACCCTCGAGTCTTTGCTCATCCCCGAGTTTTATGGAACTCTACAGGTACCGTCGTGCCTTTGGCTACCTGTAACATTCATGTGACCATCAAGATTTCCAAATAGTCAATCACAGCGTCTAGTTTACCATCTCAATCTCTTCAAACCATCCTAATCATGTCATTCATGAGTTTTGTAGCAAGTGACTACGGCCCAGGGTATCTCGAGGATGAATTATATTCCGACGAAGATTTTGGCTACGGAGGCAATTCACGGCACAAGGAAGATTTATGTTTCGATGAAAGGCCGTATGCGTCAGATGAATTTCTAAACTTAAACATTCAAGAACAAAAGGCTGCCGTCGCTTCGTTGTTTCGAGAGAAATATCCTTCAGAAGAACTACAGGAAGCTCCTATCAATGCGGTCGTTGGTCTTTTGAAACACGATGATACCTTTTTACTTTCTGGTGCTAGTTTTGCCCAATCTCGAGTTCCGGAGCTCTTTTTCCACATGATTGAAAAGAAGCACAAACCAGTGGTCTTGGTTTTGAATTCGATCGATACGGTTGGAGATCAAATGGTGAATTCTTCGTCAGAATGATTGAAATAAACTTGTTGAAAAGGAAGCATTGACAAATGTTTCCATGTTTTCTTAGGTTTTGGAAAAACAAGCAGTAGGTATCACTGCTGTTAATTTAACTTGGCGGACGATGAACAAAGACACCTTGAAAAAATTGAAAGACAACCAGTATTCATTCATCTATATCGTATGTCTTGTCTTTTTGAAAGTCGTTTAAATGGTTATAGGAGTTTCATACTGATGTATTCTGGTTTTTTGTATTGAAAGAGCCCAGATGTTTTCTTAAATAATGAAGATTTCGCAGGTCTTTACGATAGCAACAAGTTTTCACGTCACCTAGTCTTGAAAGTAGTCAACGAAGCCTACTGGATATATCTTTGGAATCTAAAGAAAACCGAACAATCGAAGAACTTCTCTGTTCATGTCACTCCTGAAGACGTTGAAAAGTTCAGAACCACCTACCGTTATAACCTTGCTAAATCGTTGAACGAAATCAGCACTGTGCCATTACTACTCATGTCGGAAAGCTGCAGACCACAAGCAGTAAGTTCAATCATCGAGAGTTTGAACATTCTCCCAAAAAACATCAACATGATCCTAGGCGAGATAGTTCGCCCAGAGCTTCGTTACATTCGAGTTGATATGTCTAAAACCCTCAATAACGCTGAAGATTTATTCAGTATTATCCCACCTGAATCCTCGGTCTCAAATGACGACTTTCCCCGAATGGTGATTTACTCAGGAACTATAGACCTTACATTGAATGTGATGTATGCGGTATGCAAAGCTAGAGGTAATCCTAAAGATATCAACAATGGCAACAGTGCTTGTATCCGACGTTATCATTCTGTAACTGGTGAGAAAGATAAAGCGCAACGAGCAAAAGAATACGGTGAAGGAAAATTCCCAATACTCTCATGTAGTCCTGCCTTAGAATTGGGTCAAAACTGGAAGCGAGTGAAGGTGGTTGTGATAATGGGTGCCATGGATCCTGCAATATCCTATCAGCTGGCTGGAAAAGCGGGACGGGATGGTCATAGCAGTCTAGTCATTCATTTCGTTCAACCCAAAATGCCAAAAAGTCCAAACAATGCTCGTGAAATTGTGACAACGTCAATGACCAATCAAGACCGAATGCATGCGTTTAGGCTCACTCCATGTTGCCTCAGAGTGGTTTATGCCGTCGATACTTTGTAAGTCGTTTTTGCCATCCATAAAGGAGATATCGAGCTAAAAAATCGATCTTTACAGAAAAGGATATATCCCGATGACATTAACCGACCCTGGCTATCTAGCAGAGATAGAACGTGAGCGCAGCGCAGGAATGCCTGTGTGCCGATGCTCAAACTGCGACCCTAAAGGAGCGGCTCTATTGCTTCGCCTCCTACCGTACACAAACGCAGCCGATCTAGAAAGTCTAATGAGCTCTAATTTCACCAAGCCTCAAGATAACCCTCTGGCATCACAGGAAGAGCAAGAAAACGAAGAATCAGAAGACGAAGAATCAGAAGAGTCAGAAGACGAAGAGTCAGAAGACGAAGAGTCAGAAGACGAAGAATCGGAAGACGAAAGATCAGACAACGAATCACCCAAAGACAAGAAGCGAGCGGCTCGACAAAAAGAGCTTGGTTGTATACCATTAAAGTAAATATTTCATACAACTATTTCCCTGAGATCAATTGCTTCTAACATCTAATAATCTATGTTTTCTAGCTTTGATTATCGAGATGGTCTTTCCTTTGGAAACCGATTATGAAGGCTAGACTCCAGCTTTCGGATCTCAAGGGCTTCGAATCCATCAACTTTATTATTGTCATCTCTGTACTCAATACCTGCCAATTTACATGCTGTAACTCGCCTCACCAAGATTATCCACCGCAATCCTCGCGCGATGTACTAAAAATTACAACCCCTGTTTTGTTGTGTTGCTGGTGACTTTGGTCGCTGTGAGGTTTCTCTTGCGCTCATTGGGCATGGGATGCTCATGCCTATTGGACTACGAGGATTGAAAATATGTTTTTGGATGTGTATTGAACAAGGAAGTATTCACCCGTACATCACCTTGGTTATTGTCTTAGTCTAAGAGTATGACCTATGTATTTACATATGGTATGTACAAAATGTGCAACAAAAGTGAGGATCAGCCTTTGTGAGAGACCAGCTGAGATAAAACTGACAAGGTAAAGTTCTGATTGCATTTGTGTAGACATCAATGTCAAGGATGAGTGTAAGCAGCTTTTGAAGATAAACACATTCATCACACCTAATTTTAGTGAAGTCAGAAGGCACAAATCAAGGTATGTCAAGCATCTTGTTGAGAGTTTGCCTGCAAGGTGCCCTTGTGTGGCTTGAGGGGGGGTTTTGCAGGTTTACATTTAATGAATCACTGAGGTAACCAGATGTCCTGGCCTGCAAGTGACCTGCCTTGGTACAGTTGTAAAAGCATGAAATAATTTCACACCATTTTTTGACATTGGGCATAAGTCACTTGCTAAAGCCAACTGGAGTGTCATAGCACAAAATCTCTAATGAACCTGTACAAGTAGACACAGAAAGTGTACAACACCCTTGGGGCCAAGTTTCACTACAGTTTATGTAATTGTGAGCCAGTCTGGCCCCGGGGGTGATGTATCTTTTCTGTGTCTACTTGTACACATTAGGGAGGCACAATGAGATTCATAGCAATTTATTGACTATCAGGGAATGGAATGATACATTATAAAGTTTCAGTGCAATCCCTTCCAGGGCTACAGTGCATCTCACCAAAAATCTTGAGCTTGAACCTCTATGCACCACTAATACTATTGTGGCATGTTTTGTACAGTTGTTTTCAAAAAGTTTGAAATCAAGGTATTTTAAAAATTGAGAGGTGGGCCATCCGCCACCTGTGAAAGGTGTCAAATATGCATATGGAAATGCTGCTCTAATAGCATAACCACATTGTTTCCAAAACAAACTGTGGCACAGAATTGGTTGAGCACCCCCTTCATGTTTGATTGAACATGTCTCAAGACTCCTCCATTTTTAAATTCAAACTGGACTAGCTTCCTATTTTGTCATCACAAATTTTGAAAAGTTTTTCTTATTCAATCTGCCTGTTATCATACAATAGGACCATGAAATAGCTTTACTATCATTATTTGCTTGCATATGATTATCTTTGCTGTATGAGTACCTTGAGATGAGAAGATTGGCAATCAAAAGCAAATTGACAAAGTCCCTCTTGGACAAACAAGTAGTTGAGAGAGGGACTTACTGGTAAAAACCAATATCTTGCGTGAGAAGTGAGCTGTATTGGCTCAAAATCTCTACATCAGTTTAACTTTTTTGTCTCTCAATAAACAATACTGGATGCAAAAGGGAGAGATGATGGCAGCATCCTGTTACATATGCTCCAGTTAAAAATTCCTTTCTATCTTGTTGCGAACATATACTTTTGATTGATTGAAGATCATTTTCATCACTTTCTGAGTAATACAGGCTGCAAGCGGGTTTGCCGCTCAGAAAAAGCCAAAAAAGACTCATCCTTCACCATCCACTAGCAGGTATCCCAGACAAGATCTTGCAAAGATTGCAGCTGAATTGTCTGTAATGGCCATCTGCTGTCCTCATGTTATTTCACATTCAGCAGGGTTTATAACAAAACAAAGAAGATAGAGCAATGTATTGATTTTTTGTCAAATACAGCTCACTTCTCAGGGCAAGATTTGTGTTTTAGCGGTAAGTCCCTTCCTTGCAGGAGCTTGCTTGGCAAGAGGGACTTAGTTAAGTTTGAATCAAAAGAGGCATACATAGTGAGTCACAAATGGGACTGCCAGCAACGGATCACACTTTCTGACCACTGTGCCACCAAAGAATAAGGGTGTGTGGGTTGACAACTGATTCGATACTGTAGATTTATTGATCTGGCAGGTAAGCTTGATACCTTGCACAGGTGGTGCGCAGTCCACCTCTCAATTTCCAAAGCGCCTCAATTTCAATCTTTTTGCAAACAACTGTAGTAGTGTGGCCCACTACTAGTGATATCGCTGATGAATTGTTTTCTTCTCAGATTTTTCCAAGGTGCTTCATTGCTCATCAATGCTGAAAAAACAACTATAAAATAAGAGTGACTTGTCTATCAAGGTACCTATGGCCATCCAGTCAAGATAAGAATGTGGATTTTATTTTTCAGTTCCTCTGTGACCTCTCAGAACAGAAAAGCATTTGTCCAAAGTTGAAACTTTAGCTTTAAAAATTGATGTTGTGGTGGTGAAGAGGCACCGAGGAACTTCCCGGGTCCATTTCGGGAGGAATAAGCGGAGCATCCTGCTTCTCGCATCCACGTAATGCAAGAAGAGGAGCCACGTGACAAATGACGTCACAGACAGCGGTTGGAACTCCTTAGGCCGGCCCTGGATACTCTCACCCTGCACCACCAACATATTTACCTCGGATTACAAAATCCGAGGTATCCTCGGATGCACAACCTCGGACAGAAGCTTCCCAAGGTTTTGATCCGAGGTAATTCTCAGGGCAAAAAAATACCTCGGGCAAAAACCTCGGACAAGGTCTGTCCGAGGATTTGCCTCCGATGATGCCTCGGATTTCTCAACCTGAGGCATCCATGCTGGCAGTGCTGTCTAAGGGTGAAGTGATCCTCCTCTAAGAGTTCAGGACCTCACTGTTGGTCCTTTCTCATCTACGAGTCTCCAGTTTCTCCTAACCGCGTTTTCCTCATTTGCGCGATCTCCGCTTACCTCACCTCCCATCCTCACGAGAATCTTTTCGAATATGAGGTCTAGCAGAAGAAATTTAGGTCTAGGTCCTGAAATTACACCAGAACCGACACCCCCAAACTCAGAGGATGGTATTGAAAATCAAGACTTCGAAATTGAAAACACATTCGAAGAAGAAGAGAGAAGATTTAGAGAAGATGAAGAAGAGCGATTAAGAGAGATAGAAGCATTAAAAAACTGGTCGTCAAACAAATTATCATCACAAGCAGAAGAACAAGAAGTCTCGACCAGAAAAGTTGTAAAGAGCAAAAGTAAGAAAGCAAAGGAAAAAGATATCAACTGGACTTCTGACAAAGACGACGATGACGACGACTCATCGAAATCAGATTCGAGTGATAAAGTCTTAATCATGGAACCAAGTAAGCATCGTGATAAACGTGATATATTCCGTAGCGTGATTTATTCCGCAAACAGCTACACAATCATGATTTATTCCGAAGAAAAAGCAGCACATAAACTGTGATATATTCCAGTATTAACAAAGCTAATTAACATGAATCATTTCATTCGTAACAGCGGCCTTGATAGACAAAGCCTATCAAGCTTTAAGCTTAGGAAACGCTAAACTAGCAAAGAAACTCTTATTAAAGATGAAAATGGAAGAAATGAACAATAGAGAAGCAGAAATCCCGAAGATAAACCCTTTAGTAAAATACAAATCAGGAAGGACAGCAAAGAATACCTTGAAAAAGTTTACCGAGTATTGAGATTCTCACTTAAAAAAGTTAGACAATCACTTTCCCTTGACGATCTTTAACACAGAGTGGATTGAATTAGATAGCTTAGTAGCTAGTAGAAGTACATCAAAGAAAAAAGATCAAGCGACCGGTCAAATTCCAAAAAATGAATGGTTCATGACATTTGCTGATTGGACAAGAGCTAGGATCTTGATGGTGAAGTATTTGAAAGAGCAATACTTCCATAAAGATTTTGCAAAAGAGTTAGTAAACATGACTTAAATGAGAATAGTGAATTTACTAACGTGTTGATGGTATAGTTTGGAAAAACATTTCGAATATGTTCAAACTTTAGGCGATAGACACGGTTGGATTGTAGCCTTTCGATACAATATTGCGGTGAGGAATGACGTTACATGTAATCACATAGACGGTGCTCCAGGTGATCCAAGCGAACAAAGGAAAGAATTCCTTGAGGAAGCATTGGCTAGAACTTCATTTTTACAAGATGGTAGAATATTGCCAAAAGATAATCGTTGAGTTGTTATATCTTAAACTCCTTCAACATTATCTAATAAAATGTTTCTTATTCATTTCAGCTTATGCGAAAGGAAATACTAGGGAGAAGTATAGTCCAATAACAGGCTTCCGATATCCAATAGGAAAAAGTCATGATTCTACCAACTTAGATGTAGAGGAAGATGAAGATGAAAAGTTTTTGAGAGTTCCTAATTTCAAGAGATCAGATGAGTTTAAAAGTAACAGAAGAAATGATAGAGGAAAAGGTTTAAGGTTCGACAGATCACTTTCTCCCTACCAACACCCAGAAAAAGGAAAGGGCAGGAACCCAAATTATAAAGGAATTAATTAGTGAGTGAACAGGATTACTCGATTGATTTATGACTACTTACTAAAATGAAGTTCCTTGCTTAGTGATGAAAACTACGTTCCAGGGGGAAAGAAGAAGGAGCAGGGTGAACCTAAGCATGTAGAACCTAGACAATCTACGTCAAAAGAGAAACAAACGTGAGCATGGTATATAAGGTTTAGGTTGTAGATGCCATAGAATTTGTATTATGAATTGTTGTTTAATTTGTTGTGTTTGTATTTGTGTAGATGTAATGAAAATAGTTGTGTCGAGTCTTTGAAAAGAAAAAGAACAGAATCTACCGATTACTTAAGGATATTTAAAGATGGAAGAGACGAGACCTGGCCAACTATTGTAAAATGCGAGATGAATACAAACGTGTGGGAAAGAGAATTGAAGAAATTTGGTTTGATTGACGAGTATCAATATTTAC